CAAATATCAAGTTTGAAAGGCGGGTGGGTCCTACAAATGAGCCCTTCCAGAACCAGCACATGTTCCTCCACCCTGCCCTCCCCCTTCCCTGCTCCCCAAGGCCAGGCTGGAACCCCTTCACCTGCCCATAGGTGGGGGGAGGGGAGCCAGCGATGCAGGCAAGCTACATGGGAAAAGTTGCCAACCCCAGCATGTATCAGAAAAAAATCACCCTTTTTCCAGGAAAGCAGGAAGCCTGAGAAGAGGTTTTTACTTGCTTGGCTGCTTTTATTGTGAGATTTATTACTCATTTGCATCTGTTTGGGCAGTCATTTAATCCTGATTTAATCAAGGTGGCTTGCAGGAATTAAATACAGGCCACTTTTATGTCCCTTAAATGTCCTCTTGAGTAAACGCACTAACGGAGGTGCTCGAAGACACTGAAGGTGCTGGCCTCAGCAAGTGAGCAGCTGGGGCACCGTGGCCCAGACGGGGCACCCTGGAGGCTGACGTCATAAACCAGCTGCCTGGTGAGACCTGACATGAGGACACGCCAAACCAAGAAGATTCAGGAAACTCTCAAAACAACCCGAGTTTTTCAGCCTCCTCCATACTTGGTGGACTTCATTCTGTAGGTGAGGCCTTGAATCATAAAAGTGAACTACACCTGCCATTTACCACCAAGCTCAGGGGGAGGTGTTCTCACGTCCCAGCCTCCTGAGTGATGTTTTCTCTGGCTATTTATCAGATCTCAATAAAACAGCTCTGATCCAGAACGATCCCCTCCCTTAACTTATACTCCAGCCAGCCAGCACCGGACAGCCTAGGAAGAATCTTCATGATTCACAAAACTGACCAAGTCATTTCAAGAGCTGGGTCATGCACCGATTCTGGGACAGCCTTTAGTGGGAAGGTTTTAAAAGAAGGCCCAGGGCCCCTGGTTCCCACAGAAAGTCCCTGCGTTAGTTGAGAGGACCCTCTCCTGGCAATGAGGGTGACTGGGAAAGCACTGTTTTGCCCCGTGGTCAGTATAAGTTGGAACACAGAGCAAGGCATGTTTATTTTCAGTCAGTGCTGGCTTTAGAAAACAAGCAGCAGCAGAGGTCAAGACCATGCACACAGCACAGGTGCTACTCCTATCCTGGGTGAGTGGATCAGCTTTGTCAGTGTCTTGTCATTATATCCCTTGTGTGTCTGTACTGTTTGTGTTGCTTCTTAGATTGAGCGGCAGAGAAGATCTGAAAAAAGCATAAGCCGTGTACCCCTCACAAATCCAGGTGTCTGGTCATTTCTGGGTAATTTTAGGGACATCCTGATGGAAAGTCAGGAACTTTAGCTGTAGGACCAAAGCCCCCAAAGACAGCCTGAGACAGGTACAGCCAGGAGGTCACCCTGGCACACGTGGTTGGAACCAGGGGACCCTAGGGAACTATTTTAACTTTTTTTTTTTGCATGTTTCCTAAATGTCCCTAAAGCCACATGATAAACACCCATGGCCAAGGGGAAAGTTGAAGATCCCACCACAGGTCCTTTGGCCAGATGCTAGTCCTCCCGGGTCTCTCTTCACCTCTGTTCTGAATCTGCCACTTGTCCCTCTATCTGGTCCCTCTAGGTGGACACTGGTTGGATTGTCTGCCTAATTTTCACAGTTGGCTTTGAAGAGAGAAATCCCACCCCACTCCTTGATCTGCTGACCCCCCATCACTTCAATTGTGCTCTGAACTCTCTCTAAGAAGCCTGGGCCAGAGTGGTGACCATAATAAAGAGCAAGTCAGATAAAAGTGTCACATGACCAGATGGCTTGCAGGGAGCTGGGAGCATACGCCCATCTTCATGCGGCCCAAGCAACACAGGTGGTATGCATGGTGGAGCAGGGGTACTTTCCAGCATCAGTGTGCGCAGATGCGAAACAGAAGACAAACCCTGGGTAGCTGTCCAGAGGGTGGAGCGTCAGCAGCTGAAATGATACCCCCAAGAAGATGTGCCTCTGGCAGGCCCCCCCAGCCCACAGAGAGAGTCGTGGCTCTGTCCATGCTCTCAAGCCAGTGGCACGGCAGAAATAGGAGAGGGATGGAGGTGAGGAGATCGGGAGGGCTTCCATGAGCAGCAGGGAGAAAGAGCAGAAACACATCTCCAGCTCTGAACCTTCATCCTAGTCGGAGAATACCTGGTGGCCTGGTGGCTGCCAGGCATAGAGATGTTTGGCATTCCTCAGTGGCCACCTGGACCAGAAATGGAAGCCAGCCTACCCAGAGGGCTTCAGAGAGTGTTGGGGCTGTGGGGGCACCTTGTGGGGGTCTGGTTAGATTTTATGGTCTTGGCTGTCTGGGTGATTTGATGATACGTGCTTGCCACAGAGTAACTGCTCAATAAATTTGAAGTTAATCCATAAATGATGTAGAGGTGTACTGTGGCCTGAATACTTGTATGTATATCTCCCCAAAATTCATATGTAGAATCCTAACCCCCAAAGATGATGGTATTACTGAGAGTGGAACCTTCATGAGTGGCATTCGTGCTCCCATAAAAGAGGCTCCAGAAAGATCCCTGGTCCTGCCCTCCATGTGATGACACGACAAGAAGTCTGCAACTTAGAAGAGGGCTCTCACCCTACCATGCTGGCCCCCAATCTCAGACTTCCAGCCTCCAGACTGTGAGAGATAAATGTCTGCTGTTAAGCCATCCAGTCTGTGGTATCCTGTTATAGCAGCCTGAAGGCACGAAGAAAAGGTGTTTATATTTATATTGGGGAAAAGGAAGTAAATGAGCAAACGTTAGGGCCAGTAAATGGCTTAGGGGAATCAGAGAGAGAGAGAGAGAGAGAGAGAGGGAGCGCCACAGCCAGGCTCGCCACATCCAGCCTAGCAGGACACAGGAATGGAACTGGTGGAAAAGACAGGGGATCCTACTGTCTATCTCTCTCTATAGCACCTGGCAAGACAGGCATGTTCACAAGGGTGCTGAATGAATTCCTTTTAACAAAAGCCATTATAGCACTAATCAGAGGAGAAGGCAATACCTTGGGTCATCTGCTCTTCAAGGGAAGTAGCTGCAGCAGGCGGGTTCCCCTGAGGTATGTCTATTGGGGTCTTTGTTAACGCTGTCCTCTGTAAGGCCAACACCGTCCCTGCCAAAATTCCAGGCAATTCTCAGTGCCTCTCACCTCCAGCCCAGGGAATTCTACACCCATTTCAGGCTGCTGTCTTCCAACACTCCACAGCTGTGGTCCTCTAAATGTATTCAATGGTTCCATCTGGGGAGGGGTGTTGTTTGTCCTCAATACCCTTTCTGAGGGCCTGGGAGGTCAAAACTATTCTCATAATACCAAGACATTATTTGCCTTTTTCACTGTCTTGGCACCTTGTACTGAGGTCAAAAACAATGAGGGCAAAATTACTAATCCCTGAGCATGAATTCAGTCACCTGTACTAGTTAGTTGTCAATATATTCTTCACCATAACAGTCTCAGTTAAAAAAAAAAATCCAGTTTCACGTTTCACTTAAGAATAGTAAAATTATTATTTATTAAATTCAACCCTTGCATGCCCACCTAATATTCTGCTGAATATTGAAGTACAATGGTTGTCATAAGAAAAGCATTTGTATTATTACAAGAGTAGCAGGGTATGCTTTTTCATGGAATGCCACTTTTATTAGAAAGAACAGCTGATAGACAAACTATGGTTACTTGGACTTGGTATTTGGCAGACATTTTTCTCAAAAATGGATAAAGTGAGCCTATCACTTCAAGAAAAGCAACTGATGGTATTTATTGCTGATAATAAAACCTGAGCTTCCAAATGAAAATTAGAATTCTCACAATTTCATGTTGCCACCATGCACTTGAGATTTTCCAGCACTTAAAGACTTTCCTAGTGGGCTTGCTGGTGATATTAATGAATGTGATTTTAAAAAACTATATATTCATCCTACAAGGGCCTTGCTTGTGTGTCCTTCTCGTCTTCTTTTTTCTCTCCCCTTCTCCCTCCTGCCCCCCATGAGGTTGCAGCCACACTGGTCACCATTCTGTCCCTAACTCAGCTTTTTCCCACCCTTGACTTTGAGTCTGCTCAGCCTCCCTGCCTGGAAGCCCCTTCTTCCCCTTCCGGTCACCCCCTAGTGCCACCTCTACAAGAACACCTTCCTTCACTATATGAAAACTTTTATCACTATAGGAGTTAACTCTTTGTGTTCTCCCCATCATCACCCCTTTTATTTCCTTCATAGCATGTATCAAAGATATCCGAGAATCTTGCTTGTAAGTTTGCTTGCTAACTAGCTATGTTTTCGATGGAACATAAGCTTCTGGAGGACTGGGAGTTGCCTGTCTTGTTCCTGGCTCTATTCTCAGCTTCTAGAGTAGTATCTACACATAGTAGGCCCTCAGTATATATATCTGCAAAGAAATGGGTGAATGAATGAGTTGGAGGAAATCTTTCTCCATTCATGTTTTTTCTAGAGTTAAGAAGAGAGTCTGCTTCTACCTGAAGAAATAAACCTTTGTTTCTTCTCTGAAAACCCGCCTTGGGAACCTTGACTTTCTTTCAGGCTTTGGAAACCAAAGACAAAGAAAAGAAGCTCTTTCAGGCAAAGACAACTTCTGCCTCTCATCTTGCCAAAAACCTCAGCTGAAGGGAAGAAGGGATGCAGGGTTGGTTATTTTATTGAGTGAAGGGTGTGAAAATTGGAAAGGAGAAGGGGGAAAGGGAAAATTCAAGGAGGAAAAATCCAAATTAATCTCTCAGAGGTTGTCCAGCACACCTCACTGAAGATGTCCGAGCGGTGGTTCCTGACAGCTGAGTGATGACGGGGTGGGGAGCCACTGCCTTTCACACAGAGGTGCTGGCGTCAGCTCAATTAGCCGACCAGCCTCATTCCTGGTCCTGGACTCCTGTTCCAACAGGACCTGGCCTTCAGGCAACCGCAGGGCGGGGGAGTCTGAATGGTGAGGGAGAGCCCTGCTCCTTCTTAAGCGCCAGCCAGTCAAGCCAGGGCTTCAGTGCCCGCCAGCCGGCCAGGTGTCCTGCACAGCCAGAGAGGAGCCGGGGATCCCCCACCTGCACCCTCACCTGCCATGGCCGACCAGTTGACAGAGGAGCAGGTGGCCGAGTTTAAGGAGGCCTTCTCCCTCTTCGACAAAGACGGGGATGGCATCATCACCACCCAGGAGCTGGGCACCGTCATGCGGGCCCTGGGTCAGAACCCCACGCAAGCTGAGCTGCAGGGCATGGTGAGTGAGATCGACCAGGATGGCAATGGCAACGTGGACTTCCCTGAGTTCCTGGGAGTGATGGCCAGGAGGATGAAGGACAGGGACAGCGAAGAGGAGATCCGGGAGGCCTTCCGCGTGTTTGACAAGGACGCCAATGGCCTGGTCAGTGCAGCTGAGCTGCGACACGTGATGACCAGGCTGGGGGAGAAGCTGAGTGACCAGGAGGTGGAGGAGATGATACGGGCTGCGGACGTGGATGGTGACGGGCAGGTCAACTACGAGGAGTTTGTCCGCATGCTGGCCTCCAAATGACGGGCTGGCGGGGTGCTGCTGCACTACCGGGGTGTCCCCGCTATGCTTTGCTGGGGCTGTGCCTCTGGCTGTCACAAGAGCCTCAGGCTTTGCGTTGCTTCCTCCACCCCTCAGCTTCTTCCCGCACGGCTTCTTGTCAGGCAAGGTGGGGCCAATGCCCCTTTCTGTATCTCACTTTGTCTCCTATCTCCTGCCAACCTCCCCCACCCTCTTCTCATCTAGAATGACACAGGCTACTCCCAAGCCCAGCAAACCCTAAGTGTTTCTGTCCCTCAGGAGTAAAAAGAGAAGTGACATCACTGCATGGACAATGAGCAGAAGGATCAGTAAAAGTTGCACTGACTGTGCCGTCTGTGGGGAGGGTGCAGTGTGACATCACAGAGCCCTCTGGGCCGCGGAGGCCAGGACAGCTGTAGCCCTCAGACTTCATGTGTTGCTGGATTCAGGCGGGTGGGAGGAATCTCACCTGGGCGTGCAAGTGGTGACAGAGACTCTGACAACAGAGGCCAGGCCTCCTGAGAAACAGCAGGCACTTGACTGTTCCCTCCACCTTTGCCAGACAGCTGTGATTCATCTTTTGAAGGTGGGAGTAAAACCAGGGTCAGTTGTAACACATCTGTATTGATCTTTTTGGAGAGAAATTTGAATGAAAGAGAGAGGGAAGCCTCAGGGGAATAAATAAAACGCTTGTGTTCCTGTGATGTTTCTTTTTTTCTGGTTCGGATGAAATTATCCTCATTAAATCCAGGGTTGAAAACGAGGTAGGACTCTCTATGTTGGTGCTTTTTGAAAATTTTGTGAAGTCTTGTATTGTTGGGCATAGCGAAAAGAGACAAGGCCAGGTAAGGTAAATCGTGACTATTTATTTCAAATAAAATGGATAAACCTGTAGCAGAGAGTGGTTACAAATCCGTGTAACCTACGTAGGAGCTGAGGCGACTATTGTTGGGAAGGCTCCCTGATCATTGATGGTGCTCCTCCAAAATTCACTCTCCAGTGCTGTGACAACTGTGGTTTGAAGAAAGTGAGAAAGTGATGGGTAGATAGTGCTAACTGTGTACCCTGTATGTGTGGGCAACCTCCAGTTACCTGCATCCTACCACAGCTCCCAGAGGTCACATCAGATGACCCAGAGGGCGAAGGGGCCTTGTCAGAGATTATTTTAGCTTCAAAGGGAGGCAGTGTTTTGGGGGGTCAACACTATGCTGGGGCTCATCTGAAATGCCCTTCTAGTCCCGGGACAGTCACAAAGCAGCTGGCCAATCTTCGATAAGCCCTTTTTCCCTGACACCTTCTCCTCACTATGTGTGTTTCCTCATATGTGAAACAAAGAACGTGGGCTTTGGGGCCAGACAGACTGGGATTTGTAGCCTTACAGATGATGGCTGCTGACTGCACTCAAATCCCTTAGCTCTCCATGATGAGAGCTGACACCCTCTTGCAGCACCACCCCCCACCCCGTTGGGGAAGGGGGCGGGCACTGTTGTGAGCGCTCAGCAGGCATTGCAGCTCACCACTACTCTATGTAGGAGCAGTATTAGTGGCTCCCCATCTTACCAATGAGGAAGCCGAGGCACGGAGAGCTTAAGAGATCAGCCGGATGTCCCACAGCCGGTGAGTGACAGAGCTAAGTTTGAGCGGTCACTGCCTCTCCGTAGCCTCTTTGCCCTTCACTGTGCCCTGAGGACTAATCAGTGCCTCTCTAACATCTGTGGGAATTAGAAATCATCTTAACACACCTGGTGGACAGTCGCTGCTTAATACACGGCAGCTACTATTGCTGTCATTGGAATCCCTCCCAGCATTAACACTCAGAGGCTGGGCAACCTGGTCCCACCCCTTGGGGGTAGTCCAAGGGAACAGAAGAGGCGGGAAGGGGGCAGGAGCTGAGGGGGCCCCAGTGTGCTGAGAACAGGAGGGTGGTGCTGCTGTGGCCGGGCCTTGCAGGCTGGGCCTGTGAGCCAATCCTCCCCACAGCCCTCAGCAGTTGGGATCAGCTGTCTTCCTGTGTGCAGAACAGAGCACCCAGATGCCACTGCACACAGCTTCCTCGGGGCCCCCCATTAGCAGAATAGCTAAGCCAGTCTTCACCTCAGAAGTTCAGACATGCATTACAGCCCTACCTGCCAAAGGAAACATTGACGTCTCCCCCAGGGACAAATATGATTCTGACCTTAGTGTCTTTCATGGGATGTCTCCTAAATGCTTCAGGAAGGAAACAGGTAAGGAAAGGGATGGGGTCAGGAGTTGCCCTTCACGGCCTGTGTCAACCGGTCTGTAGTCGCCAGCCTGGATCTGGCTGGGGAGTTGGCATTTTGTCCCCTTCTTTCCCAGTGTTGGCCTAACTGAGCCCTGGGCAGTATGGGGACCTCTGCACCTGCTAACCTTCAGCCAGAAGCAAGCAAGTTGTCTTTTGGGGCTTCCGCGCAGCCTCCTGGCAGTTTAGCAAAGTAATTTTTCTATAACTGATTGCGTCATGCGGGAACCCCAGCCTGCGTTTCCACAGGCTTGAGAGCCTTTAGTAGAGAATCTATGAGGCCAGGACAGGAACTAGGCTGGCGTCACAGTAAGACCCCCTGACAAGCCCCGACCCTCGCTTGGGTGTTCCAGTGATGACCCAGAAGCCGGGCTGCAGATGGGGGTCCAGGCAGGTGGATATGTAGGGAACCACTTCTCCCCCACCTGCAGAGCCATCAGAGGCCTCAGACCATTGTTTTGTCGTTTCTGCCATGGCTTTCATGACTCTGAGAGTCAGCTAGGAATCACAGTCCTTTGGGAGCTCTCAGATGCAGATTAGTAATAAATGGGGTTCTTCTGTCCACATGGGAAAGCTGAGGTAACAAGGTCAAGGTGGCCCCACAGAGCTGAGATGCTCCCTTCCTTCCTCTTGGTTTTACATTCCTGAATACAATTTTAAAAAATCATTGTCCGTTGTCCTTTCTTATTTAAGCAAGTTCATTAGCCTGCTTGGCTATTGGGCTCAGCCCCTCTCCCAACCTGGGGTTAGGGACAGGGCTGCCAGACTCAAGGGGAAGGCTTATGGGTGCGTGCTCGCTGTTTCTGGAGGACTCCCTTGCCTTGATAGCCATACAACCTCCATGCCAGGAACCAGCCATGCCAACTCAGTGTGTCCTGTCACACATCAGCCTCAGACTTGGGGCCTGGGGACACACTTTCGTTTGTCTGTGGCCTCCTCTCCTTTTCCTTCTTCCTTCCCGTGCTGCCAGGACCTGTCCCCACACACCTAGATAGACCGTGATTACCAGGCGTAGGTCCCTGGCCTTGTTGAGTAGTGCAGGGGAGGCCTGGCGGCCAGAGTACTAGAACGGAACCACCGAATGAATACTCCTTGGCCAGGGGAGGCCCCGAGGGTGGAAGGGAGAAGGCTGGGCCTCCAGATCCGTGCTCCTCGCCCTCTGTTTTCTGGAAGAGACTTCGAGGCAGTTCTCACCCGCATTCCCTTTTTCTTTCACCCACTGAATAATTGGACTTAAACTGCTCACTCCCTTTATCCCCCCAAAAGGTGCTATCTGACTGCCACTCAGAAGAACACTCCATCTGTCCCTGGGGGAGGAATTTATAAATATTACCTTGGCTCCCATGTGCTTCCACCAAGCTTCTCATAAATCAGTGCTGGGGCTCCCGGCCTTCCCGGACTATATAAAGCCACCCCTCTGCCTCCTGGGTTTCCAATTTTAAGTCAAACACAGCCCAGCCCTGCCAGCTCCTGTTGATCCTCACAGATTCCAGGGGCCGCTCAAAGGCTCCTGAGCTAGCCAGCTAAAAATGCCTCAGCCATTCCCGCTAGAGAAACTTAAAATTGAAACTCCCATGTGAGGTACAGACGGCCCCATGATGAATAGAAGCAAAAAATACCCCCAAAACAAAAAAACCATCTCTGAGAAATGCCTGGGTGTAGCCCACCTGCCATCCGCCCCACCATTCTGTTTTTCTGGTGGTTGTTTCTATAGCAACCAGGTTCTCAGACAAGAGCCTGGACGACCCACCCAGAGAAGAGACAGGACCTGGGCCTGGAGCAACTGTGCTGGTACAATGCCTGCACTGCCCTCGTACATGTGCCAAGTGCTGGGTGCTGGTGAGAATGGGCACCTTCCTCCAAGAGCAGGGAAGGGGAAAGTCAGGGAGTGGTCCTGGGAGACCGGCTTCAATAGACCCAGAGAGGGTGGAAGTGTTTCCACACCCAGAGGAGAAAGTACCGAGGGGGACGATCAATGAAGGAATCTCACACAGTCTCCTAACTACTCTCTCAGGTCTTCCGTTTCTTCCTAGTGTGTCTCAGAATTACCAGCAAGAGTAAAGGAGCCAGGCACTTAGTCCAGAGAAGGGGCAGTGGTGGTGGTGGTGGGGAGGGGAGCTGCGTGCATCTGGAGGCTCAATATCGCAGGGACCCAGGCTGTCTTGGCTGATCGCCTCGTGCTGCCCTGCAGACCTCAGATGACTAGACAACAATGAAGTGACACGTGCCCCCTTCCTCCTGAAACTGACCCTGTGCAACCCTGACAGCCACAGGCAAAGCTCACCTCCCTTGTCACCAGCAGCGCTGGTCACATGTACAGCCCACTGGGTGCCCTGAGGACCCTGTTTTGGAGTCTCGATACAAGTACAGCACTTGCTGAGAACACACTTCCATGCAGGGACTGGACCGTGTAAATGCTTACCATGCACTGCATTTGTTCACTGAATCCTCAGAAGTGGGTGTGGCAGCCACTTTTATTAGTTCATTTTAGAGAAAAGGAGATTGAGACCTCAGGACCTCAAATAACTCCCCAAGGTCACACATCTAGTAAGGTAGAGTTTGAACCTGGCTGTGACTGGCTCCAAAGCCAGAGTCCCACAACCAAGAGAAACCTCTCAGAGCAAACAGCCTGAGGTTGAAAGTAGCTGATCTAACAGAAGCTGTGAGAGCTGCCACAGGGCTGGAAACAGCACCACAGCTGAGAGACATTGATAGAAAGGCCTGGAAGGGGCAACAGCTGCTGGGCAGATAGGACCTGGAGGAAGACAGGACACTAAAAAGCACAGGGGGATCCAGGAGCCCTGAGACCTGCTGTGTCCGTGTTGGTGGCTGCAGAGCGAGTGTTATCAAACCACCCCACAACCCTGGGCCGTGGATGGGGCACCTCATTTCACAGCCCCCTTGTTCTGACACTGGAGGTTAATGCAGGTGTGCAACAGTAACACTGCTGTCCTGAGGAACTGGAGGTGGCCACCATCATCAGGAGAGAATACTGCACTGGCCCACGTCTTTGTGACAGTAGATGGTCACAGCCCTGTGCACATCTCTCTGGCCAAAGCTGGACACTGGCCTTTGTTATTGGTATAGAGGAAACGGGGGATGCCTGGGCCTCTCCGATTCTATCATGGAAGAACTCCACCTCCCACCCAACCTCACATTGTGTGTTCCAGATAATCGGCAATCAGAAAGGACATCTGTCCCCCCAAATTCATGTGTTGAAGTTCTGAGCTTTGGAATGAGACCATATTTGGAGATAGGGTCTTTACAGAGGCAATCGAGTTAAAGTGAGGCTGTGAGGGTGGGCCCTAATCCACAGGACTGGTGTCCTAATAAGAAGGGGAAATTTAGGACCGGCCGAGTGGCACGATGGTTAAGGGCTGGCTTGGGACGCCACAGGGCCTCGGTTCAGATCCCACATGTGAGGGCCAGTGACACTGCT